CATAAACCTCGAGAGCAATACCTCGTCTATCATCAAGGCATTAATATTATTATTAGTAGTAGTAGTAGTAGAAGTAGTAGTAGTTGTAGTAGTATTGCCAGATACTTTTTAGATTTCAACTTTAAGATCCTTGTATTTTTTAGATTTTGAAGATCTTCAAAGATACATTACTGTCTGTAGAGACTGCCATGTCAATAAGAAAGCACATTGTGTTTCTGTGGTCTTGGGTAACTATGCCTGGCGATTAGCTTTGTCTGTTCTGTCTGTGTGTATTATAAAGTCCCATAAAATTGTTACAGGTCCTATCTTTGTAACCGGATCTGGATGATGTTCATAACAGTTTCTTGCAGTTTCTTTTCCGCGAAAGTTGCATACTTTCCAGTGTGGGTATTGGCACACTCTATCATACCGAATTTTATATTCAGTGGGTGCTAACACCATGCAACCTGATACAAGATGGTCAATTGTTTCTGGATATTTATCACAGAATCTGCATTTCACGTTGTTGTTGTTGTTGTTGCTATTACTATTATTATTATTATTATTATTATTTTCTTTGTTTTCTCTTGTATACACTTTTCTTCCGGGTCCCATCCAAAGATCAAAAGTCAGAAATGCCTTCATGACTATTTCCACTAATCTTTTTTTTATATATATAAAAAAACAATAAGATCAGACATTTTGCATAAATAAATAAAGTTCATTGTAATCTGTGAACTGAACTTGTGAGTACATTCTTTTATATTTTTAAGGCGTGGTCTACCAGGTATCCCTTCAATAAATCTATTGAATCCCAATCAATCCGAGGGTTCCGACCTCACCTGGAATTATTGATGCCCTCATGTGCCACATTTTTTTTTTGTGTTAGACTACGTGTTTCGTGTTAGACTACGTGTTTTGTGTTAGACTACGCATTCTGTAAAAAAGAGAATATTTTATTTTCTACGTACAAAACCTCAGTATTGTGGTGCCACTCTGGTTAAAAGTCACTTTTTTAAATGTCATGACACTTCTGGATATAAGCGATAATGGATTTCCATACATTGCTTTTCTTCGAATTGCCATAATCTCCTGAGAATGATAGAATAATGGTTTCCTGTAGTCTTCTTTTTGGAATTCAAAGTAGTCCGCCATCTATACTGGCTACCAATTAAGGCTAGAAGGTCCAGTTTACTCTGCTATTTAACATAGCTGAAGGAAGAAGAACTTGATTTCATGCCTTTCCCAAGAGTATTAATAGAATCCATTACATTATCGAACTACTGTTGTTTTCATAATACAGATATTAACGCAAGTCCGGTACAAGGCTTCAAATTTAGAGCACTGAGTGAGAACAAAACTCACTATAGTGATAATGGTCTATAAAAGCAAGATACTAACAATATGAGAGGAGGACAAATATAGTATCAAAGATTTAATATCAACAACATGACGCATGACTATATCTGCCCGCTAAGACCTCTCGGTTTTAATCAATATAACATCTTAGTTTCACTACAAAAATATTTGTTATTCCTTTCATTGTTTTTTCAATGTCGACGTATTTGGTCCAGAGATTCCTTTTCTTCGAATTGCCATAAATTCTTGAGAATGACAGTAGAATGATTTACCGTTGCCTCCTCCTTGGATAGTTAGAGTTCTCAGTTCTATATACTGTCTACCAATCAAGGCTAGAAGGTCGACTCTATTTTGCTACTTAACTCTCAGCTGAAAGAAAAAAATGGATCCATGCCTTTTTCAAGAAAGGAAACTCGTTATATTATCGAACAACTGTTTTCTTAATACAAATATTAATACAAGTCTGGTACAAGGCTTTCAATTTAGAGCAGTGAATGAGAAGCAAAATACTGACATTACGAGATAGTAACAAACATAATATAAAAGATTTAATGTCAACAACAGGAAGCATCTGTCCGCTAAAACCTCTCGTTTTTTATCAATATATCATCTTGGTTTCATCACAGCAATATTTGTTATTCTTTCCATTGTTTTTTCAATGTCGTCATATTTTGTTTCTTATAAAAAAAAATGCAGAAATTTTAATATGTCACATGAAAAGGACAAATAGTCTATGACATTTATTTTGAATTGTTTTTTGTTTTGTTTTTTTTACTACCAACATCGTCGCATTTGATTGATGTGCCTTTAGTGAATAAATGATTCGATATTAAATGTATTAGTTACATTCTCATGACGATTCTATATTTTTCCAGATGACCATTTCATTTCTATTTCTACTAATTTTTTTTGTAAAAAAAAGTAGGATCAGCCATTTTGCATAAAGTTCTTCGTAACGTGTGAGCTGAACTTCTGAGTACAATTTTTGTATTTTTTTAGGGCGTGGTCTACCAGGAATCCCTTCAATGAGTCTATTGCTTCCTTTTCCAATCAATCCGAGGTCTTCTACTTCAACTGGAATTATTGATGTCCTCATTTGCCACATCTTTGAGATTTCCATACTTTATTTCATGATCCTTGTATTTTGATATATTTTTTAATGATCGTCAAGCTGCAGGGACTCTCATGTCAATATGAAAGGATATTCTCTTTTTGTGCTTTTTGATAAACGATATCAATGCGATTAGCTTTGATTGTTCTGTCTATAAGTGCCATAAAATGGCAACAGGTCCTATCTCTATAACCGGGTCTGGGTGATGTTTAGACCAGTTTCCTCCCCGTAAAAAGTTGCATATTTTCCAATGCAGATATTATATATATATATATATATATATATATATATATATATATATATATATATATATATATATATATCATACCGAGTTTTATGTTCAGTGGGTGCTAACACCTTGCAACCTGATACAAGTCAGTCAATTGTTTCTGGATATTTATCACAGAATCTGCATTTCATGTTGTTGTTGTTATTATTATTATTATTATTATTATTTTCTTTGATTTCTGGCGTTTAGACATTTCTTTCCCAGTCCCGCCCAGGGGCCTAAGGTTAGAAATGGCATCATGACACTTTCCACTGACAAAAAAAATTACATAGATGAAGCCCTTCTTAAAATGTGGGCTGTACTTGTCAGAACAATTTTTTGTATCTCTTTAAGGCATGGACTTCCAGGAATCCCTTCAATTAGTCTACTGGAATCTTTTCCAACCAGTCCTAGGGCTTCAAATACAACAGGGATTGTTGATGTTCCCATATGCCACATTTTTGAGATTTCTATTTCAAGGTCCTTGTATTTTGACAGCTTTTTGAATATCTTCAAAGATACATTGCAGTCTGCAAGGACTGCCATATCAATAAGGAGGTGCTTTTTTTGTTTGTGGTTTTTAATAACAATGTCTTATTATTATTATTATTATTATTATATTATTTTCTTTGTTTTCTCTTGTATACACTTTTCTTCCGGGTCCTATCCAAAGATCAAAAGTCAGAAATGCCTTCATGACTATTTCCACTAATTTTTTTTTATATAAAAAAAAACAATAAGATCAGACATTTTACATAAATAAATAAAGTTCATTGTAATCTGTGAACTGAACTTGTGAGTACATTCTTTTATATTTTTAAGGCGTGGTCTACCAGGTATCCCTTCAATAAATCTATTGAACCCCAATCAATCCGAGGGTTCCGACCTCACCTGGAATTATTGACGCCCTCACGTGCCACATTTTTTTTTTTGTGTTAGACTACGTGTTTTGTGTTAGACTACGTGTTTTGTGTTAGGCTACGTGTTTTGTGTTAGACTACACATTTTGTAAAAAAGAGAATATTTTATTTTATTTTCTACTGGTCAATTGTTTCTGGATATTTATCACAGAATCTGTATTTCATGTTGTTGGTGGTATTATTATTATTATTATTATTATTATTATTATTTGTTTCGACCCCTGTAGTATCCCGAAATAGTATCATGAGATATAGGGTGGAAATTATTCATCTAATCACCCACAAGGCCTCTTAGCTTATTTTGAAATCTGTCAAGTCTGGAAAGAGAAGAGTGAGCAGCTTCAGCTTGGTTATGGGTCAAGCAAATCCGATCACGATAACCACGAAAACATTGAAAGGGACTAACAAAAAAAAAATCATTGAAAGATACTATATATTGAAAATTACATAAGCTTCAATAATCGTGATAGATTTGATCAGAAAAGAAAGTGGTTTTGATATATTTACATTTTAAGGGTTTTGCATCAATACTTTATAAAAAAAACAAAAAAACTCCTAATCAATTATGTATCGAATTAATCCTACTTTCGGTGCAAATTCCCCGCTTTTCTTCTCACGAGAAAATGATGTCTTCTATTTCCCATAATTATTGAGTATATTTCTATGTAACCTGTAATTTATATTAATACGTTATGTAACTTAAAACATCTTTTCTTTATGAGAAAAGATTAATTTAAAAAGAAAGCGGGAATATGTATACATAGTGATAAAAAGAGAGAATATATATATATATATATATATATATATATATATATATATATATATATATATATATTAATAATATATTAAGGAAAATATCCGATCTAAAAAATATAGGTGAATCTCTTATAATTTAAAGAAAAATATTTAGAAATAAAAAAAAATGACGTATTTAAAAAGCAAGAAAAACCTATAAATCTTTATTAATAATATATTTCTATTCCTGCTAAAATTCTGTCTGTATTCACCGAATGATAAACAGAGAGAAGAGAAAAAAATATTCAATTTGCAATAATTTATAACGAAAATCGAGAGTGAAAAAATATCATAATTTTGTGATGTATGTCATGGGAAAACATGTTTATTCAAATTTCGAATTCACAAGAGTCGTGTGTGAATGCGTATATAATCATTTGTCGTTATGTTTTTATTTGCCTGTTTCTTCTTCATTTTCTGTTTCAAATGAAATATCTTGTCACTCCTTTTAAAAAGAAAAGATCTTGCCACAGAATATGAGAAAGATCGGCTCGTTTCATTTGAAATTTGCAAGAAGAAAAACCGGACAAGAATTTAAAATCCTCGTTAGATTAAACCGATGCGAGAAATGCTTTCACTTTGTAAATATTTTCTCGTTAATGATTTGATGATGTTTCTTCAAGATATGTTTTACTTTCTCTCATTTCAAATTTCCATTTTTCGCCTTGTCTCTCTTTATAGGTTCTCTTTAACTTTTCATCTACCATCTTTTTTTCTTTTCCCTCTTTTTTGCACATCGACTTTTTCCTTCACTTTCTCTCTCTCTCTCTCTCTCTCTCTCTCTTTCGCTGTTGTCTTCTCTTTTTTACTTAACTTCTTTTGTTCTCTTTCATTCTCTTTTCATTTTTTAATAATTTCTCATCTTTCTCTCTTTCCCCATTTTTGTACTTTCACCCATTTTCCTTGTCTTTCTCACTTTCCTTCTCTTTCTCACTTTCCTTCTCTTTCTCTCTTTCCTTCTCTTTCTCACTTCCCTTCTCTTTCTCTCTTTCCTTCTCTTTCTCACTTTCCTTTGTATATATCTATCTCTTTATCTTGTCCGTTCCTCTTTCCTCGTTTCTTTTGACTCTTTCAGTCACTCTTTCTTTCGCTTCCTCTCTTTCATTCTCTTTCTGTTTTTCTTTCTCTATCTCTGCATCTCTTTTTTCCATAACCTGTTTTTCTTACTCGTCTCCATTTTTATTCTTTCAATTATTTTTTCTCTTTCTATTTCCATCACTTTCTCTTTTTTTTCTTCTATTTATCTCTTTTTTTTTATTTTCATTTCACTTACTTTCACACTTTTAACCTCTTTTTTCTTCTGTTTCTCACTTTCTTTCGTTTTCTCTTCGTCTCTTTTAATCTTTTCCTTTCCTTTTCTCACTATCTTCTCTCTTTTTCCTTCTTTACCCTCTCTTCCATTCACTTTATCTCTGTCCGTTTTTATCATTCACTCTTCTCTCCTTTTTGCAGATTGAATCTTTCTTTCTTCTTTTCTATATTTTTCTTCTCCTCCTCTCATTTTATCCTTCTTCCTATTCTCACCCCTCTTTCTTTCTCTTTCTACCTAACACTTTTCATGCATTTTCATTTATTTCCTAATCCTTCTTAATCATTTTTTGCAACTCTCCTTCTTTCTCTCTTTCATGTTTTTCTCTCCGTTCTTATTTTGCTCGCTTTATTTTCTCTTCTTACGCCTTTCTTTTTCTTCTTTGTTTTCTTTCACGCAATTCCTCTTTCTCTTTACCAATCTCTTACTCCTTCTTTTTCCTTCTCTTTCTCTTTACCAATCTCTTACTCCTTCTTTTTCCTTCTCTTTCTCTTTACCAATCTCTTACTCCTTCTTTTTCCTTCTCTTTCTCTTTACCAATCTCTTACTCCTTCTTTTTCCTTCTCTTTCGCTTTTCAATCTATTTTTAATTTTTATATCTTTCTTTCTCTTTTTCTCTTTCCTTCTTCATTATCTTTGTTTCTTTTATTTCTTTTTCCTCTCGTTCAATCCCTTTTCAATATTTTCTTCACTTTTTCTTCTCTTCCTCTCTTAGCTTCTCTTTGTCTATTTCTTCTTTTCGCCTTCACTACTTTTCCTGTCTTTCTTTCATCCTTTTTCTTTCCCTTTATTTTCCCTTCCTTTCTTTCTGTAATTCTCTCTCTCACCTTGTCTCTCTCACCTTCTCTCTCTCACCTTCTCTCTCTTATTAGTTATAGTTCTGTCTTTCCTTCCCTTCATTTATTCAATTTTATATTTCTTTCCTTCTTTTTGTCTTTTTCTTTCTTTCTTATCTTCCTCTCGTCCACTCTCTTTAGTTTTTTTTGTTTCTCTCTTATTTTCTTTTCATTTCTCGCTTTTTTTCTTTTTTTTTCTTTGCTTTTATTTCAATTAATTTCTTTCGTTTCCTTCCTGTTCAGCTTTCTTCCCTTCCCTTCTTATATCTTCTGTCTTTCACTCTTTCCCAGACTTACCATCTTTACCGTCCTCTATTCTTAGAATTCCCTTTTCTTTTCTTTGTATTCATTCTTTTGCATATATATTTTGTTTTTGCCAGCTCTCCTCTTTTTTGTTTACTCTCTCTTTTTCTCTCTGTATATATATATATATATATATATATATATATATATATATATATATATATATATATATGTCTCTCTCATTTTTAATGTTTCTTCTTCTAAGTGTTGTATCTCGTCAGGACATGAGCGATCATGATCCTTCACAACTAACACTTTGTCAGGCATCCCCCAGCTCAGGTTTCACCATCCATTCCCATAAGCTCGTCAGAAAGCTGACTCGCTGACTCGCTGACTTCCGCTGCTTTTCTCTCATTCCTTCACTTTCTTTCCTTTTCTCGTTTTTCTATCTCTGAACTATTCTCACCTTTTCAAATATTTCTTTCTATTTCTCTCATTCCCTTTAGATAGATAGATAGATAGATAGATAGATAGATAGATAGATAGATAGATAGATAGATAGATAACGAAAAGACTGAGATACATAGATATGAAAAGACTGAGATAGATAGATAGATAGATAGATAGATAGATAGATAGATAGATAGATAGATAGATAGATAGATAATGAAAAGACTGAAGTAGATATGAAAAGACTGAGATACATAGATATGAAAAGACTGAGATAGATAGATAGATAGATAGATAGATAGATAGATAGATAGATAGATAGATAATGAAAAGACTGAAGTAGATATGAAAAGACTGAGATACATAGATATGAAAAGACTGAGATAGATAGATAGATAGATAGATAGATAGATAGATAGATAGATAGATAGATAGATAACGAAAAGACTGAGATACATAGATATGAAAAGACTGAGATAGATAGATAGATAGATAGATAGATAATGAAAAGAATGAAGTAGATATGAAAAGACTGAGATACATAGATATGAAAAGACTGAGATAGATAGATAGATAGATAGATAGATAGATAGATAGATAGATAGATAGATAGATAGATAGATAATGAAAAGACTGAAGTAGATATGAAAAGACTGAGATACATAGATATAAAAAGACTGAGATACATAGATATGAAAAGACTGAGATAGATAGATAGCTAGATAGATAGATAGATAGATAGATAGATAGATATTAAAAGACAGAGATAGACAGGTGGATATTATCCAAATATTTCTTCTGAGTAGGAAGCCCTTAGATAATATTTTTGTAACACGATCTTCATGTTGGATTCCCCGGAAAGACCGCAACAAATTCCTTACCATACTCCAGTTCGGTTCAACAAAACAGGAGAAAATAGAAGATAAATAAGAAATTAAAGTCTAAAGTCAACATTAGAAATCAAATAAGAGCTGGAATGTCAATATTGTGGTACACAAGACACTTCCAAGATTGGAGAAAAAAGAAACTCAAATCAATATACAGAAGTACCAAAAAATGAACGACTGTGCAGATGGCTCTCTACCCGAGAATGGCATAAAAAAGACTACATGCAAAAAAAAACAAAAAACAATGCAAATTAAAAAACACGAAACAGCATTAAAGACTGGATTCAAATCTTCATAACAGGATTTGAACAAGAGGCGCAGTTGAGAAAATATCATGGAAACTCTTCAAACTAGGGTAGCAAAAAAAATAAAATGCTGGACAAATAAGGATGGGGTGTGCGGATGGTACAATGAATAGTGACTCGGATAAGAAATCAGAGAGCCGTTTTCGAACTCCAGTCGAGTGGGAAGGATATGAACCTATCTCCCCCCCCCCCAGCTATGCGTTAAATAACAGGACAGACCCGTAAAATACTACAAATTACTTTTGAAATCACAGCAGCAATGCCGAGCGTATAAAGAGATGTGGCACCATACTCTTCAGGGAATCTACGGGATTTGAGAGTTGTGGCTCTTTAAACATTAGGGAATACACAGAACTTGAGAGCTGTAGCCCCATACTACTCAAGGCGTCTACGGGACTTAAGAGCTGTGGACCCATACCCTTCAGGAAGTCTACAAGACCTGTGAACCGTGACACCATACTACTCAAAAAGTCTACTAGATTTGAGCTGTGGTCTCATACCCCTCAGGGAGTCTACGTGATTTGAGAGCTGTGGCCTGTACTCCTCATGAAATATACGGGACATGAGAGCTGTGACCCGATATTCCCCGGGGAGTCCTTGGAACATAAAAGCTGTCGCACCATACTCGTCAGGGAGTCTACGGGACTTGAGAGCTCTGATCCCTTACCCCTCAGAGAGTCTGCGGGTTTTGAGAGATGTGGCTACATACCCATCAGGGAGTCTACGGGACTTCAGAGCTCTGACCCCTTACCCCTCAGAGAGTCTGCGGGTTTTGAGTGATGTGGCTACATACCCGTCAGGGAGTCTACGGGACTTACATGTTGTGCTCCATATATGTTAATATTAACTTTAAACATTCGTTACCCCAGTTTCTTCAAATATTTTCTTGCCTCTCAATTCATTTTTCCTGCTCATTATACTTTTAATATCTCTCAGATCTCTTTCAGTGATATCCTTAAAGTAATTCTTTATGTTTTTCTTGTTCAATTGTACATGCAAGGTCAGTCGAAATCGTCTCTCTTCCGGAAACCAAGTCTTTCCTTTCACCCCCAGTAACCTCTTGTGTTTTAGTGGCATTATCACCATCTTCTGTCTTCTTGAAACCTGTTCTTTTATTGTCCTTTCTCCTCACTAAAGTCGTCTCGTTCTCTTCCACTTCCAGTAACCTCTTGCGTCTTAGTCACAGTATCGCCATCTTCTGTTTATTGTCCTTTCTCCTCCCTAAATACTTCTCATTCTCTTTCACCCCAGTAACCTCTTGCGCCTTAGTGGCATTATCGCCATCTTCTGTCCTCCTGAAACCTGTTCTTTTATTGTCCTTTCTCCTCACTAAGTTCTTTTCCTTTTCTTACACTCCCAGTAACCCCCTCGTGTCTTAGTGGCATTATCGCCTTGCTTGGAGTGAAATGATTAAAAAATATTGATTTAATGCAAAAATATCGTATCTTCCAATTACAAGTGCCTGATGTTGGAAATCTTAAAAATATTTACTTCTTGTTATTCACTTGTTTGCAGGGGTGTGGTGATTAATTGTTAGCGTTTCGGGACGAAAAATTGCCGAACCGAGTTCGAATTTCAGCCGAGTTCATTACATGAATCCATCTCGTCTCTCCTCTTCGCAGCTATGGGTTAAATAGCAAGACCGACTAGTGGTTAAGAAGATAGCGAATGACAAATCTAAATTGAAAATCGTATGTAATTCTGCTGTAACACATACTATGCAGCCACTGACAAGATCATGGAGATTATAATGACTCTTTAATATCAACTGCGTCGATGTATTATTTTAATCATTTCACTCCAAGCAGGGCAATAAAGCCACTAAGACGCAAGGTGTTACTGAATGTTAGAAGATATGAGAGTTTGTGTTTTTTTAAGCACAACGAATAATAATGGAACAAAAATTAAGACAGAAGATAACGATTGATATTACACTTAAATTTTTGAAGATCAAGGTTGACTGTAAAGCAAGAGTTTGGATGGGAACTCAACAAGCAAGAAATGCGACAGAAGAAAATGTTAACAAAGAACTTACGGTTACATCTAGACATTTCAATTGTAAAATGGTGAGATCCTGCCGGCAATCTAGTACTGCACTTCAAAACAGTTACCATGAACGTATTTATATAAAAAAAAAAAAGTCACAGGGAAGCTACGTTACGGCGGTGGGAAAGTGACTGAAGCCGAGAGGTCAGGTCAGGACCAGTAATATGGCAGATTCCTTTATGGATTTGATCAAGAATATCTAAATATATAGCAGGAGCATAGGACCATATATGACAGCAATATTCAATTCAAGGACGAATGGTAGAAGTATATGTAATATAAATTCTGGCGCGGAAAATTGCCTAGCGCGACACAGTGAACCAACATTCCTAGAAGCAAACCTAACAATTGATTCACTATAATCTTTCCACTTCATGTCAGTAGAAAACATTAATCTGACAAAGTGCAATGGGTCGCTCTTTTGGAGGTTAGCATCAGCCATGCTGATAGAAGTTAAAAAGGGTTCTCTCAGACAAATACAAGAGAACAGTTTAACTAGCCATTATTCGTCCCAGCGAACCACAGATTCTACGTCATTTGTGAGATCCGGTGCCAGTTTGACATCAGTGAACCGATCAGACCTACTATTAAAACGGGAGTAAATAGTTGTGTCATCGACATAAATACCGCATTTAGAACTGATGTCATCAGGAAGTTCATTTAAGAAAATTAGGAACAATATCGGTTCAAAGTAGCTGTGGAAGAGCTGCATTAATATCAAATGATCTAGAAAAATGGCCATTCAAAATAACATTAATTTCGCGATTTGATAAAAAAAAAAGGCTGAATCAGTTCAAAAATTCTCCCAGAAATACTATATTTCAACTTGTGAAGAAGACCAGTAAGCTGAACCCAGTAAAATGCTGTCGAGCCTGATCTGACATCTCGTCTGCAGTCGCTCTCTCACAGACGCCGTCGCCTCCCACTGTCTTTTTTACAAATACTTTCATGGTAACTGCTCCGATGAGCTGCTTTCCCTGGTTCCCAGACTTCATGAATTTAAGCGTTCTACTAGGCTGGCATCTTGCTCACACCCTTTCACTGTCAAAACTGTTAAATGTAGCCGTCTCTTCTACTCAAATAGCTTCATGTCTCGCATCTCTCGCCTGTGGAACTCCCTCCCCTCTTCCTGTTTCCCTGATAGTCACAATCTCCAACTATTTAAATGTAATGTCAACCGACGTCTCGAGATTCCTTGATCTATCCCCTATCCTTTTCTTCATCCTTCCTCTATCACTCCTATTTGGTCTCACTCCAATTCTCTGTAACCCCTTGCGTGCTGGTGGCTTCCCGCCTTCCTTGGGGTAAAACGCTTAAAAAATCCTAAACAACAACCTGAGGTTCACCATACTTATCTAAAGCTTGATAGACTCTTTTAGTAATAATGGTTAACACATCAGCAGCTGACCTAGAGAATCGAAAGCTATATTGCTTATCTGAAAGAAGACCCTACGATGTGAAATGATTCACCAGTTTGGAGATTATTAGGGCCCCTAGTACTTTGTCAAAAAAGAGAAAGAAGGCTAATAGGTCAATAGTTAGAAGGATCAGTCGCTTTTTCTAAGTTCTTAAAAACAGGAACTGCAGAAGAGGATTTTTAACAAACAGGAAATCATGAAGCAGCAAGGCATTTATTGCAGCGTTTAGAAATAAAGAGTCATTTCGGAGTACATTTGTTAAGGACTATTGCAGGGATACCATAAAATTCACATACATTGTGGGGATTCAGATTATAGATGATAGCTGATATCGTGGATGGAGTTCTGCATATCACTAAATAGAGACTCAGTTCTAAGTAGAAAATCAGGCAAAAATAATCCAGATAAGTCAAGTGTTGAATCTGAAGAGGATTTACGAGCAAAGCATTTTGCTTTATCAGGAGGTTAACACTTCAAATTGAGTGAAGAGTAGAAGAATAGAGTACTTACTCTTTGTTAACACACTATTACAGAGCAGTCATTAGTCACGTGAACCAAACTTGTTAGAAGCTATACTGGGCTTCATTCTATCGGCAAACAAAGAACCTCTTTGAGGACATATTTACAATTATACCAGAGACAAATATGGGTCTGTTGTGAACTGAACTATCATGCTTCTACACCCAGAAAATGTGATTCCGGTGGGCTACAGCGGCTGAACAGGCCGGTGTAAACCAAAGAAAAGATTGTGGTTTCACCAGGTATTTCCCAGAAGGTACAAAAGAATCAATGCCGGTTTTAACCCAAGAAGAAATCTCTGTGACACAATTCTCAATAGGAAAGTTAAGAATAACAATCCAAGGGGCGTCCCGATTAAAGGCACGAAATGAATCCCAGTAAGTACGCTGGTAGCAGAAATATGACTTGTGAATAGGAGGTTCCTTTCTAATAGACTACTCAAAAGAAATATCAACAGATACTACGGCATGATCCAATTTATCAAGAGGACAGAGTTGTGATGCTCGACAAGATCAAGGAGATGAGGTAAGGAACAAATAAAGTAAAGAAGAATGTTGACAAATTCATTAAGGAAAGCCACTATTTGACTGAGAGACTGAGCAATGGAAAAATTTCTTTTAATATATTACAGTCCTGAGAAGAAGGAGAGCGATAAAAGAAAAAGTGATATCTTACAGAAATAGGGTCGAAGGTAAGGAACAAATCAAGT